ACTCGGCCTTGTGACGCGCTCAAGACATGACGCCGCCGTTTTGACATTTTCAGCCTGCAAGACACCTAGACACGCAGTATGCCGCGTGCGCTAAGATAACACATTATTTTCCGACGCGTAGCCGCCCGCCAACAACTTTCTTCACCGCATCTTCACCGCGGCCCAACCGCGACACCAGCGACAAGCGGCGACCGCTCCGCCAGCCATCTTCACAACAACCACAATGGCCAGCACCACACAGCCGTGGCTCGAGGATCTTTCTGAGGAATGGGTCACGCAGCCCTCGCCAGAAACTCTTGCGCGCAACCAAGAGAGCCCGGCGGTTTCCCAGGCTAGCCAGAGCGCAGGAAAGGCCCGCAGTCGTCTCCCCCGCATGCGCCAATCCTCGGGCTCCTTCTCAGAGATCCAAGTCCGCAACATCGCAAAGGAGCTGCGCCCGCCAAAGCAACGCGGTGCCGGCCATGAGCGCAGCCTCAGCGACTTGGCTGTCCCGACCACCTCGTCGCCGCATGCGGCCCCACGCGACGTCTCGTTTTCCGACTTCTCCATATCGCAGGGCTCCGTCATGCAAAATGGCACCATAGCACAGGACACCGTCGCACGGTCGCCAGTCAAGGCACGTGGGCCACAGGATACACCGGAGTGGAGGCGGAGGCTGGTCAATGGCAGTGGTGTGGGCTACGGCAACCAGACCGACCTCTTCGGCCCCACAGGCTTGGAGAACATCTTCCAGAAGCCAGCCCCTGGCGCATCTGAGGACTCAGCCCAACCGAAGCGCAGGCTTGGTTTGCTTAAGAGTCTCACCACCGTGCCGTCTAGCCCCCCGCCGTGGCCAGCCGTGCAGCAGGTCAAGGGCGCAGGCCAAGCAGCACAAAAGCACGAGCAGGTACATCATGCAGATCAGGAGAATCCTTCGCTGGACAACACAGAGCAAGATCAAGGCACATCGGTCTGCACCCAGGGACCAGGTCCACTGGAAGCGCGGACAGTGAGCGGCCAGATTGAATACGAAAACGAAAACTTCAGCCCTGTGTTTCTGACCATGACTGCGAACATGAACGTCAGCCAGTCCGCTAAGCCAGGCCCAAACTTCAGAGGATCCGAGCTCGCCAACCGATTACGACAGATTGGATCGCCGCCTCCCACTGTTGACCAGCCCTCTTACGACGAGAGCGCGTTAAGCTTCAGCCGTGAAGACTCATCCCTGGCAAGGCTGCAGGATGAATCGCTGCCGGAAGGTCTTCCCACGGGCACGCCAGATGTGGCTGATGTTGGACGTCACGTGGAACTTCGAAGAGGCGGATACTCTAGGGAAGGATCTTTTCGTCGAAAGCCACTTAGTCCGTCGCCCGAGAGACCTGCTTCTGAAGCTTCAAACGGTCGTACAAGTACGGCACAATCAAAACCTAGCGCAAAGCACCCTCTCCGAGAAATCACCACAGACCCAACAACTCCCCATCGAGGAGGACACGAACAGTTCCTAAGTCCAGACCGGGCGAAGAACTCCGGAAGTCCTCTCAAGCTATTTGATGCGCATGACACCTACACGAGTAATCGTATCCAGCGGCGATTGAGCCAGCTCGAATACAAATCCGAGAAGGCATCTAGCGTCAAGGACGGCACAGCGGAGAGTACAAAAGTGGTACCTAAGACTTCAAGATTGTCGTCAGTGGAAGAGAGGAGCATGCAAAACATTGACCAGTATCTTCCAACACAACTCCACCGAAAAACGCCCTACAGGGTCGGTTCTTTCGGCGAAGGACAGCTTAACCAGTACCAGTTCTCGGGGGACTTTTCTGCTATTTCGTCCGATGAGGATTGCCACGATGATACCGCACCAGACGAGTCACCATCAACAGATGTTGCACCACCTGGAAGTCGGCAACCCTTCAAATTCCATCTGGAAGAATCACCAGCCCAGCGGACATCCTCAAAAGCCAGAAGACAAGTGTCCAGTCACGGAGGGGACTCGATAAGAATCACCAGTCGACCGAAATTTGTACCACACCGGAAGGTCACAACTCCCAATATTGAAGAGGATTCAGAGCTCGCCCATGAGTATACCGAGGGGAAGAGAGGTCCGACGTCACCGTTCAAGAACCCGACGCCAAAGCGTAGAAGGACAATCTGTTCTGTAGAAGACGACGGGGGCGACGATGGAGATGTCTTCAACGATGACGACGCAGGCACCATAAAACGCTCGCACGCAGCCATACAAGCCGTGGTTAGTCACCACAAAGACGCTGGCCATGACCCTTTCAACCCCGTCGCCACTTCAGAAACGCTAGCGCGGAGACACATTCTAAGGCCCCGCAACCCCACACCTAGCCAGCGAAGGCGCGAGGAGATCCAAGCAGAGATCATGGAGGCTACCGAAGCATTCATCATGTCCTCACCAAAGCTCAACACTATTCGTGAGCAGCTAGAACCGTCAATGCTCTCAGATACCGACAACGAAAGGGACCGAGCAAAGGCAGTTGCCAACCAGATTGCCGCTTTTAGTATGAGGAGGCAGAATGGATCGCGAGATAAGACCCGCAAACGTTCTGTTACTACACAAGACTTCCTGGACGAGGCACTGAAAATCATGGACTTTATCCGCACAAAAGGTCGCCCAACCAGTGGACTAGGCAGTCTCGAAGAAACGGAGGCTGAAACCGAGCTCATCCAGGAGCGCAATGACCCCTCTTCTAATGTGTTGACATTTGATAGGCCCCCAAGCAAAGAGGGGCGCCCTTCGACGTGGAAGGAACCCAACAAGCAGGAAATGGACGCAAAAATCATGAACCATCTTCGTAAATATCAAGAGCACGAAAATGACACATTCCTCAACTCGTCCGTAAACTCTATCCGCGTTTCACGCCTAGGTGGATCGGCCATTCCCGGAGAAAGCATAGTTATTGAGCAAAACGACATTAGGATCACGGACAACCGGAACAGGCATCGGGACGACCACGAAGACGAAGACAACCAGCTGAACTCTCCACAACATACGGCAGATACCCATCGGTCGCGGTGCTCATCATTTGGACAAACAGTAGTTACAAACGCCTCTCGCCGTTCGGATCATGTCGCTACCCTTGCACCTGAAGCGGTCGCCCATCTTATTCCGCCAGAAGTAGCTGGGATGAGCTTTGACCGTGACAAGAATGTCTGGGTTCGTCAAAAGTCTCCATCCAGGCAGCAACGTCGCGAGGAGCACCCTAGCGGCATGAATGAGAGCGAAGATGATCCTTTTGGCAATATTCCTGATTTGACTGTGGAAGACACGTATGATCAGGATGCCAAGACAGGCTCACCAGTTCGTCTGCAGCCGACAGCAGAGACTATTCTTGAGGACACCGAAAAACCAGAGTCTGACGAAGAAGCGCGCCCGTCAACCCGTGAGGGCAATGGCGTCGCCTATACAGATACAAGCTCCGCGCCTTCAAAGGCTTCCAATTTTGGGTGGAGTTATCCTCGCCCTGACACGCGGGCTACTTCCTGGAGCACACAAGCGCCACGGAACTTGAGTACCAAAATAGCACACGCACCTACCACTTATGCCATTCCAGAGTCTGATGAAGAGGACGTCGAGCACGAGATCCAATACTTTGAGGGAAGAGACCGTGCTCCTCCGAGCGTACAACGTCCGCGGGTGCGTGACATTACGATTTCGATCGCAGAGCGAGAAGTTCCCAACCTAGAACCACAGCCCGAGAAACCACAGCAGAAGCTTCGCCAGAATGAGTGGGGGCCGTCAAGTGCTCAAAAGCGATCGGAGAAGAAGCAGTCAACTTGGAAGCAGATGAACGGCACCAGAAGCTCTTTCGCATGGACCACCCAGCCGCCTACCTGTCTTCAACGGAGATGGCGACTTGTCACTGTTGGACGATGCTCCTTCAAGAAATTATCGGATGCAGCTCTCGATGAATGTTTCTGCACCTCCCTTGCGAAATGGTAGACGCGACACACTCGTTGCTGCACCGTCTTCACCAGTGAAAGATGTCACCTTCTTGCTCAGTGACCTGCCCGAGTTCACGCTCAATCAGATCGACGAATTTGATCTTCCAGATCGGGTGGTCGTCAAACACGATGGTAGTCGGTTCTCGAAAGCCTTGGAAGATCGCTATGCGCAAGGTACTGCGGAGTTAGTCAAGGCACTTCAAGATGTGGAACCAGACGAGCCGTATTGGGAAGATCTTCGTAACGTCAGTCTCCGTAAGAAGGACCTCAGTAGCTTACATCGTCTTGACGAGCTGTGCTACCAACTTGAAGAGCTTGACGTTTCAGACAACAAGATCAATCAAGTGGATGGCATACCGTACTCCATGAGACGTTTGGCGGCACAAAACAACTGTCTAACCGGGCTTACTTCTTGGACCACTCTCGTCAACCTTCAACACCTTGACATATCTGGCAACGACATTGATGCACTGGACGGGCTCGCTGAGCTGGTGCATCTCCGGATTCTGAAGGCTGACAACAACAAAATCAAGTCTCTCGAAGGCATTCTGCATCTTGATGGCCTGATGGAACTGAGCATTGGTCGCAACGAGATTGACATTGTTGACTTTTCTCGGTCAAACCTGTGAGTATAAATATTCCCTCGTTTTTCAGGCGGCATGCTGATCGTATGACAGGAAATCTCTCACAGACTTGGACCTGCGAAAGAACCAGTTGCTCGAAGTTCGGAACCTACATTGCCTACCGCAGCTTCAGCACCTCAATCTTGGTATGTTTCTTCCTGGTCAATCCAATGGTGCACTAACTGACCCGTAACAGATGACAACGAGATCGACGAATTCCCTGTTGTTGACACACCACTGAAGCCCTGCAAGGTCCTACGGTCGATCCGTCTCTGTCGAAACAGAACTACACACCTCGATGTCGAAAAATACTTCCCAAAACTCGAGTCGCTCTACATTGATGGCAATGCGTTGACGCAGGTGTCAGGTCTAGAGCATCTTCGACACTTGCGGACCTTTTCAGCCCGGGAACAGGTGCTGGAATCCGAGTCAGACATGGAGATGTGTGCTAGCAACCTGGTTAGGAACACGGAAGTGCGCAACCTATACCTCTCACTCAACCCCACATACGGCCTGCACATCTCGCAGCATTTGTTGAGCCTTCAAAGGTTAGAATTGGCATCAATGGGCCTCAAGGAACTACCGACCAACTTTGGTCAGCTCACACCAAACCTCCGGTCGGTTAACCTCAACTTCAACTCTCTTACCGATCTCCGACCGCTCCTTAACATTAAGCGACTGAGCGAGCTTTTATTGGTTGGTAACAAGCTTGAACGACTGCGCGCGAACGCAATGGTCCTGGGCAAGTTGGGCACTCTTCATAAGCTAGACTGGCGGGATAACCCGCTCACGCTGCGCTTTTATGCCCCTGCGTCTGAGAACAGAATCATGTCACTTAGGCAGAAACCCTCGGAAGAACAGTTGAGGAACCGCTTCGTCATGCCCGATGGAGAAGTTGAGGCAGACGTTCAGCACCTTCTACGGCTGGACTATGAGACCCGCATTAGGCGACGTGTCACTGAGATGATGCTTGCTAATCTATGCAAAAGCCTAAAGGAGCTGGATGGATTACCATTTGACAAGGCGCGCGTGCTTGTCAAGGATGATGTTTGGGAGCGTCTCTTGTTCCTCGGCGTTATACAGCGCAAGCGGGCAGATACAGCTGTCGAAACTGAGTAATGAAATGGTGTGAGAGTGGTGCGACGTGAGCACGCACATATCGCATGCAATTACATATGCATACGTAGGAGCTTGGGAAAATGGCGCGCCTTCATGTAACAAAAATCTGGGTTTAGCGTTTTCCTGGAGTTGGGTTGTTGTACTACTGGTCTGCTGGCACCATGGAGTTGGATGGCATTCTTGTTTGGAGCGGGATATTTGGTATCTGAGCATCTTTAGGCGCATATACTTAGGTGCGGCTTGCGACGAGCTTCGTTGTTCGAGCGCGGAGCCAGGTTTATTCTTTGTAATGACTTCATGAAATGTATTGGTAGCGAAATCATCCTTGTACTTGGCTATTACGCGGACGTTGTTGGCGGGCCATGTAAGCCTTGGACGCCTTTGAGACCGCCGATGCAAGGCACTTGTGTGATCAGCCGCCCCCGCGCTCCACTGAAACGGCTCCGCTGAGGCCCGTGCATCTGTGCATTAAAACGATCCAGCACCACATGACTTCTACAATGGAATTCGTCTACTACACAATCGACTATGCCTACATCATCAGAGGAGGAAAGAGCGTTGCAGCTTGCTGAGAAGGCAAGTGAGAGCACCAAAGCGGGAGAGTTGGCTGTTGCAGCTCGGTACCTACGCGAAGCTAGTACGATTGCACCCGAGCATCCGCAAATCAAGGAAGCATGGGTGGCACTGAAGGAAGAGGAGGGTAAGAGCGAGTTACTGGGTATCTGCAGAGCTTGGGTCAAGAGCCGGGATGAACATGATGGAGACAAGGCCCTGAAAGCCATCAGAACGCATGGGTTGACGCAGAAAGAGGCGGAACAGGCAATGGATATTCTCTTCGACTTCAAAGGCGAGGATGATATCTTGGATCATGTGTCCGGCGAGTTGCTGCAAAACCCTGGAGCTCAGATGTGGCTTGCTAGAGCCATCCGGGAGCAGCCGACACGCATCTACTATGAGATGTTTGAGCGAGGAGACGACTCAATTGATGGAATGCTCAAGGTGTTGCTCAACCGGGCTATCTGGCCCGATGACGAATCCTTCAAGACGGGCCACAGAGATATCTTCATGCTCAGTTTGGCCATGATGATGGAGGAAGCGCTCGAGCATCCGGAACGTGCAATGAAGGGTATTGCGCAGCTACTCGCTCACTACGCCGAACATCTCAAGGGTATCATCGATGCAGATAGTTTTGACGTCATACTCTCGTCGCTTGATATCCGACTGCCGGCTAGTCTACGCAGTCAAGCTACACTTGCAAGTATTAAGCTGTTTGAGCTTGCGCCAGATACTGCTGGAGAGCTCATCTCAAAGTTTGTCACTGCTCGAGCCAAAAAGGGAGAAGCGAACGATCTTGTCATTGCCTTTTCCGCCGCAGCTGCCATCTTCCCAGTTGCTGTTACATCTGCCGCCGCCCTGTTCCTTACAGATGGATTTGTCAGTACATTGGTGGACAGGGTGCGGAGCAAGAAGTCACACAATCTGGAACAAGCGACTCTCGACCTGATTAGTGCAGCTTGCGTGGACAAGAACTGCCGCGAAGCAATCAGCAAGCATTGTCGGGAATGGCTAGAGGACATGGTTGCAGAATGTCCAAACAAGAAGCGGGCCAACCTAGCTGCACTCATACTGGTCAAGTTGGGCGAGGAGCAACCATCTGAAGATGGGCCACGAATTGTAAGGGCAGAGAAGGTGGATCAGAGCGATCTAATTGCGAGCTTCAAGTCGATGGTCATTGGCGGTGACACATCTTCCAAGCAGGACTCCGTCGAAGGTCTTGCCTACGCTTCTCTCCAGCCCAAGGTCCGCGAAGATCTTTCCAAATCGCCCAAATTTCTCAAACGCCTCGTAGAAACCATGAGCGATGCAAACTCACCCAAGAACATCATATTTGGTGGCCTCACCATTTTCGTCAACATCACACAATACCTGCCGTTGCAGTCCGAAGAAGAGAAGCGCATGGCACAGCTGAAAGCCTACGCCAACGTGCAGAAGCCAGCTGATCCCGACGAACTCCTCAACGACGAGAACGTCACAGTACGATGTAAACGTATCCTCGACGCCGGCGTCGTACCCCTTCTCGTGCAAGTTTGCAAGAAAGGCTCACCATCGATCCTCACACAAAGCAGCCTTATCCTGCTGAGCCTATCTAAAGACACCAAAAGCAGAGGCACCATGGCGCAACAAGGCGCAGTCAAACTACTCATCCAAATCTGGGAGCACATTTCCTCTACCAACGACTCCTCCACCACAGGCACCACACCCTTCCCACCCGGCGCACTTGCCACAACCGCCCAAGCCCTCTCCCGCCTCCTCATAAGCATCAACCCCTCGCACGTCTTTAACGCCGCTCTCCCCAGCACCTCAGCCATTCGGCCCCTCCTCAGCCAACTAACCCGCACTGAGTCCTCAACCTGGCAACTCCACGCCTTCGAAGCCCTACTTGCCCTCACCAATCTGGCATCCCTAGACCGCAGCACCCAAGACCACATAATCCGGCAATCCTTCGACACCGTCGTCGACGACCTCCTACTCAGCAATAACACCATGATCCGACGCGCCTCCACAGAGCTAATCTGCAACCTCATGGCCTCGCCCGTCTGCATCGGAAATTTTGTTGACGCTTCCCCCCGCGCAAAACACAGGCTACATCTCCTGCTCGCCATGACGGACGTGGATGATAGCGCCACACGATCGGCGGCCGGCGGCGCACTAGCCATGCTACTTTCTGTCGATCTTGCCGTGGTCGAGTTTCTCAAGCAGGACAAGAGTGTTGAGTGGCTCGTGGGTTTGTGTCGGGATGAAGACGAGGCGATACGGTATCGTGGTGTTGTTTGCTTGAGGAGTGTTGTTGAACTCGACGAGGGCAGAGAGAAGTGTAACAGTAAAGGGGCAGTGGAGGCGTTGAAGGTCGTGCTCAAGGAGAGTAGGAGTCAGGAAGTTTTGGCTGTGGGGGTGGAGGCTTTGAAGATTTTGCTGGGGCAGTAGATGATGTAGGGCGTGTCTGTGTATACGTTGCTGTAGGGGCAAAATGGGCTGTGGATATGCTGTATGCATGTTTGGAGAGGAAGGCTAGGAGAAGCTCAAATTGCTTTGTTCAAGACTACGAACGCCACGATTCATAGCCAGAATCCACAGTTATCTAGCAAACTACCGCTTTGAGCTTCTGATCCCCTTTACTACAGTCATTGTTTGGTACCTGTGACGTTCGCATACCAACATATGCCTTGGGAAAAAGTAATCTCCTTCAAAACAAAGTAACACTGCCTGTTCTGAACTCAGATTTTCTAGATGCTCACCATGTGTTCAAATGGTTCACAAAGAGACACCTAAGGTTCAAACATGGCTTGCTAGTATATAGTGCTCGTTGTTCTGCTACCTAGGAGGTGTGATCCAGTAGTGCGCTGTACGGCAACCCAGTCCACTTAGACCAGAAACCCTCCACACTCACACACTCACAAGCGCCCACCTACATTTAATGCACACGTGCACCTTTTTATTCTCCATTTATGCTACTATAATCAACAGACATTGCTGCCATTTACCTTTTTCGGATGCGCATATTATGGTTCGTGGTCGTGCTTGCATATACTGACACCGCGACATGTTACAGTAAGCGAGTCAGTGCAGCGAGCCGAGTCAAGTCAGCGCGGTAACGAGCTCAGGGAAGGAGATAGGATAGGATGGGATAAGGCTTGTAACTGTGTGTGTGGACAGTTGGTATGTATCGTTAAGTTTGATAAAGACGACATCTCGAATCACATATCCTCTCCATCACAAAAACCCTAGCCTATACCACACATACCACACAGGGCCCAACGCATTGTCATGACCCCATTTTCGAAACACCGCCATCCCGTATTTCCACACCGAAATCGATGGATTTTGTTCTTTTTGGTATTTACTTGCCTAAATGGGTAGAGTACGTGGCTTTGGCGCGTTGTCGGTACCGTTCGTGTTATAGTTTGACAGGTCTGTGGGTACCCCTAGGTGGTGCTCCGCGGAGGGAAGGACGATTAGTGTGGGGGTTTGAAGAAACGGGTAGGAGGACTTGGGGTGCTGGATGGATTGGTTAGAAAGGAAGGGGATGATTGTGTTGATGGACTTCTGCATGTTTGTAAACGGAGGGCTTGTTCGGAGCCCGTCTGGGAATGGAGTGATGGGAGTGTAGAAGATGTGTATTCTAGTAGTCTTTCTTACCGCAATTCGCTTCATTCATCAATAGTTTACGCTTTTGGATAACTATCATAGCCAAGGCTCTTCATACATGTTATGTAGTTGGCCCATTATGAACGGTCACATGACACCAAAAACCACAGCGCACGTGACCCGCACCCCTCGCATCACCACCAGCCAAAATCGCCATAACTTCCCACAAACTTGGAAGCCACACATTCCTAAAAAGATCATCAAGCCTACGTAACATGGCTAGCGTTCCCAAAAAAGGTGCCGCACACGCGGTGTTGACGTGATCCGCCCCGTCCGTGCCGGCCTTGCCCACCCTAGCCCGGCGTCAATGACGTAGCAGTGTCGGAATGCTTGCTGCAAATCCCGCCAGGAACGCAATAACCCAAAGCTACCTTGTCTTCTGCCTTCCCTTCCCACACGCAATTCACACGTCCTTTTTTCCTCACCAAACCTTTTATATATTTTGGAATTCAATCAAGCTTGAGCTTTCGATCCTGCATACCACTGCACCAGTTAAACCTAAAGATACAATACGAGAGGCGCCATGGATGTATGTTGAAATGTTGCACAAATAGAGGGGAAGAGAGCGTAAAGCTGATGACGAGGGAATAGGTTTACTACTTTTACTCTTACGGGACGGCTGCATGGCTGGGTAAGATACACAATGGCTCAAAAGGTCATGGGAGGTATGCTGACGAGATGATGTAGCAACGCAAGCCGCGCCGCTCATTGCGTCACCTACGATGATTGTAGCTTTGTTGTCGCCTGAGGTGCGCGAAGCGACTAGTATGTATACCTTCTGATGGACTACACACGTGTGTGGGAAGAATAGCAAAGAAAAGATGCTAATGAGGTGCTGCACAGCTCTTGAAGTCTACTTCTCCCGCTCCCTGGGCTTCACGCTCATCGCATTGGGCATCCTGACCGTGTTACTTACGGGTTCTGTCCCACTCTCGAGTCGCTTGTCCGAAGGTTCGTTTGATTACCTCCACCCGTATCACGCTTGAGAACAGCATGCTAACAGCCATCGTAGGCGCCACGACCTCTGCCGAAGACCCAAAAGCTCCATACGCCCTCCCTACACTCACCATAACGGCCATGTTCCACGCCATTTACGCCTTCTATGGCTACGCAATGTGGACTAAGACGGGCGTCATGTCCTTCAGCTTCGGCACGCTGGGCTCGGGTTTCCTGGCCATGGTAGCGCTGTGGTGTATCTTGTTTGCTAGTAGCAATGGAAGGATTAGCAGGAAGACTGGTGCAGACAAGAGGACAAGTGGGTTTCCGTTTAAGAACGCCGAGGCGGACAAGAGGAAGGGTAAATAAATGAGAGAGATGCTAGGAAGGAGAGAGACGTGAGCTGATGTTGAAAAACACGCGGGCCGACAGAATGGACCATGGTCATGACCGGAGCAAGTGTGCACCGGATCGATCCACGCAACAAATAGCATGGCTGCTCGAAACTTTTTTGGTAGTTTGCGGAGCACAACCCCTGGATGAAGCAAGTGTACACTATGGAAAGCATATAACGAATTGGTATCTTTTCCCTTGAAGCGCACCAAAAGGCAATCATGAAATGCCCTCAACTTAGCTAATTCTAGACCCATACTGATACAAAAGTGTCTGTCCAACTACCTACTGTTGAGGAGAGACACCGAAACCCATTGGAATAAAGGAATAATGCCAGAAGGACCTTGGGCCCTGAGTATTCTAGACGACGGGAACTTGCGGCGTAACATCCTCATGCTGTCTGATATCAGCCGGCGGCGGTCTAGCAACGGCCTGTAGTGCCTCGTCCTCGACTTTCGGCCTCGTCACCAAAGCAGCCTCATCGCGCCACCACGGCAATTTGCCATCTCTGGGCGGAATAGGCAAAGCCTTGGATGGCAGAATATCATTCTCAACAGACTGCCAGCCATCCATGTCCTCTGGCAGACCCTCCTGCACACGACGTCTCCGCTCAGTCGCCGCCTGCGCCTCCATGAAGTTCTCAAACAGCAATTCCTTGGCCTGCCACTCATCGTAGCGTACTCGTTCCAACTCCTCTGCTTCAGCGCGTAATTGCTCGCCCTCCTGCGTTGCCCATAGCAGCTGTCGGCGCAGTAGTTGGAACAGTTGTGGAGCTGGGAGTGCGAGTTCCTCTGGAGTAAACTCTATGTCGGGTGGAAACTGGACTAATTTGGGGGCATTTGGGCCGGCGAGGTCTTGCAGATAGATGATGTTGTTATGGCTGTAGTCTGCGTCTGAGGCGGGTCCTGAAGCCGCTGCTGCCAGGGGGATGGTAGCGGTAGAGGCACTGTTGGGTGGGTGCAGGGATGACGGGGAGCCGGGTGTTGAGGCCTTGTCATGAGGTAGTTTCTTGGTGGCTTCGTTGTTAAGGACGAGCTTGAGGCGCTGCTTGTTGTTTGTCGGGTTGGAGGAGTGGTGTTTGGGGACGGGGTCAGAGGGCCTCAAGGCTTCGGTTTCGTGGACTGTACGCATGTGTTTTGCCAGAGCGTCGGAGCGGGTGAAGGAGCGGTCGCATTCTGAGGGGTGGTGTTAGGATGAGGGTTGGAGATGTTGGGGGTGAATGGTATGAATGCATGTCGTACCTGGTAGGGTGCAGTAAAAGGGCTTCTCTCTTGTGTGGGAGCGCATATGTGCTCGTAGTGCATAGCCACTGGCATGCGGTATGCCCTTTCTCGAGCAGTCGCTCCATTCGCAACTGTACTTCTTCTGCCTGGTGCCAATGTGGTCGTCGTGAAGATGCTCTACGAGATTATCCATGTTCTGGAGATCTCCCGCTGCGCACCCGTCCCATTTGCACACTGTCACCTGTTCCTGGCCGTAGTCGTCGTCTTGCGACATGCCCGGGTGGTGGTGTGGCGATGCGGGCACAGAACCATCAGTGTCTTCGGACAGCTCCTCTTCCTCGTCTGGCGGCATGATGTTGATGTGTGCTGGGGGCGAAGAGGGCGCGCGGATATTCAGGCGTTGTCGCTTGCTGGGCCGCTGCTCTTGGTCCGGAGTGGCTTCGTAGCTGAGATGGCGGCCCTTTACATCCTCGGGAAAGTCGTCGCTGCCGTACTCGGAAAGGTCTGAGGGAGATTCCATGGCGATAAAACTCGGCGGATATACACGGTGAATGGGCGTCGCGTTGAGAGGAGCGTGATGATGGCCTCCCCGGCGCGTTGGACGTCTAGCCGACGTGCAGGGACCAGCTAACTTGGCCTCCCGCCCTTTGAGGTCTGCAAAACTAAAACTTTGCTCCTTCACCTCACAACCACGGCGACATTTCGCGCCATTTTATGTGCGATGGCACTTGCTTGTAAGTTACCCCATCTCTCTTCTCCCTCTCTATGATGATCTATTCCAGAGTTCTGCAATTCCAAAGACTTGCCTCACGGCAGCTCAAATGCGGATTAGCTCTACACTACAAAAACACCTGACTTATTGCTCTCTTATACATTGAAACTTGTTACATTACAATTACAGTGCTAACAATCTTTTCAATCAGACTGCCAATTGTCTATGCGAACAGCAACTTCGACTGAGCTTCGTGATACCGTGCGCCTATGGGAGGGAACTTGTTTAGCATCTCGCCCAGCGCCTTCATATCCTCGTCGCTCAGCTTCGCCGGCTTCATGTTCTCCTCGATCCTCGCTGACGTCGTCGCGCCTGGGATGGGGATATCGTAGGCATGCCCTTGGTACCGCTTTGCGCGAGCACCCAACCGATGGCAATCTGAGCTGGTGTGACACCCTTGCTCTTGGGCCATGTCTTCCACAGCGTGTAGGAGCTTGATGTTCTCGTCGAAGACGTCGGGTTGGAATCTAGGCATGTGGTGCAGCATCGAATCCGGCTCGATGTCGCTGTGCTTCTTATACTTGCCAGTCTGGACAAACTGTTAGCAGTGTGACTTGTTGGCAGAGAGGTATACTTGCCAGAAATCCGCGTCCAAGAGGAGAATACGCGATTATGGGAATACCCAGCTCTGCGCAAGTTGCTGCGACATCATTTTCGAGGATTTCCGTCGCCCAGAGTGAAAACTCCACCTCTACAGCAGAAATTGGGTGCACGCCATGCGCTCTGCGAATTGACTTCGCGGATACTTCTGACAAGCTGATACCACCGAGCTTGCCATCCTTGACATACTCGGCGATGTAGCTAATGGTGTCTTCAATCGGTGTGTTGGGATCGACCCTGGCACACTCGAATAGATCAAGGCTCTTCTTGCCGTCCAAGACTTTGAGGCACTCATCGATGCTGCGCCTGACGTTCTCTCGGCTGCCATCCGGCGCCATTTCGCCCTTCTTGAGTCCACCCTTGATTGACAGGACAACCTTCTCCGCATCGCCGGGATATTTGGTAAAGTACTCATTGAGTAGGTGTAGAGAGTTGCGCTCTGGGCTTCCGTACAATTCACCACCGTTCCAGTTGTTTGCACCGAGGGAGAGCGCAGTACGCATGGCTTCGTAGCTCTGCTCGGCCGGCTGCGGGTTCTTGCGCCATGTGAGACCTGTGATGCGTTAGTAGTCAATTGCGAAACAAACAGCTATTAATGTACCCATAAGGCCATAGCCAATTGGTCCCACTGTCTTTCCGACAAGTTCAGGCATGTTGATGGTTGACTGAGTGCTATTGTGAGGTTTGGTGGGCTGGTGGGGCAGATGAAATATCTTTGATTGTTCGATACAACGAGTTCTCTGAATGGATTGCTTGAGCTGCTTGATGTGCGTCTGCTCCAGGGAGATTTCGAGTTGGAGTTGGTTAAATACAGAAATTAGTCCCGTCGGATCCGAGCATGTTTGTTATGCAGAGCGAGCGATGACGCTCACGCTATACCGGTAAGCGGTTGCCGGGAGTTTGGGCTCTTAACTCCGTCGAGCCACTCGTGGGAATAGACCCTGGATTTTAGGCATATTGCCGATCGTATGCTTCGCAGTGATAGAGATCAATTTCTCATCGTAAACGCCTTTGCTGATGCTCAGTAATACTAGTCTGAGCATTAGTGCGTTGCCGCTGAATCGTTTGCGTGGTGTAGGAAAGGAGGGTATCGTCATGTAATAGCAGCATCAGGTGGTACTGACTCTAAAGTCGAATCAACCTAGGAAACTCAAGGAGACACGATAGGAAGGCAAATCAATAAAAGAATGAATAGGTACGAGACTATATTCTATACTATTCTAACATACCAGTCAAATGAAGGAACACACGCGGAAACCAGACCTTTCCCACGACCTTCAACCTATTTCTCAGCACCACCGTATCCTTCGCAATCACATCCTCACAACTCCTTCTTCGCCACATCACCACTCTCCTCTACCCCATCAATGTCCCTCAATACTGCCCTAACCGGCCACACAAACCCCTCTTCCAACTTCCTCGTTGCCCCGTCCTCCAGCGTAACCAGATACTCCACTAGCGCCATACCCACATAGGAGCCAATGGCGGTAAAAATATGCCACCAGCCATGTAACTCGAACAAAAAACCCCAAGGCAGCCCCACCCATCTCTTAAACCTCGTAACATGTTCACAAGCATGAAAATCAATATTCCAAAGAAAATACCCAAACAAGCCCGTGGACAACCCAAACGTAGCCATACTACCCAGCTTCTTCCTATGCACCTCATTTGTAATCCGCGCTTTAATTAGCTTGCGCGTCTGAATTGTCACCAGCACAACCATGACTGCGAACGCAATTTCGTGCAGCACAATTTCATCGGCCCACACGTGGTAGACGGAAATTGGGAATAGACTGCCGAGGATGTACAAGGCGTAGAGGCGGCGTTGAGAGGGTGAAGCGCGAAAAGTGAGCAGTTGGTATAGGTTGGCGCCTACGGCTAGAAACATGCTTAGGTCGTCGCCCATTTGAGAGTGGTATTTTAGCGTGGCGTGGAACCAGGCTGAGAGCACGCCTACGCTGATTAGGCCCCAGTAGGGGAAGGCGAGCGTGGAGAGGAGGCCGCCGTCTGCTTTGGGGGTTACACGGCGGAGACCGATGAGGCCATAGATTACTGGGGTATGTTAGATGCGCCGGCCGGTCTACTTGATGGTGTTGTTGTGTTGTTGTCGTCGGGGATGGGAATGCTTCGTACCATAGGTGATGTTGGTGAGGGTGTTGATGAATTCGCCAATGTACGGTGTGATGATATAGTCCTTAATTCACCATCTAAGCACTCTAACACCTTCAAATCAAGAAACGAATAAACATACCTCTTCACAAAAGCTATGCTAAGTCAGTAAAAGACGGCCCAATAACTACAGCAACAAACTCACTTGTGATTGGACGTCGTTGGACCCCATGCTCCAACCGCGAAGCCCGATGGGTAATCCCAGCGTAACTGCATGATAGCTGAATTGAGATGCTGGGAGAATGAAAGTGGCTGTGCCGGTTGGTTGATACCTAGGTACCCGGGGATCGTGGGAAGGTATGGCGTGGTTTTAAACGTAAACAGAGAACGTTCAAGCTATGACCCGACGGAACCCGGACAACTTTCGCTCCAAAAACGGTCCGCTAGGGAAGGAACAGCTGTGGAATATGGTAGAAAAAGCAACAAAAGAGAGATAAGCGTAGTAGACGATATTTGATGCCTCTGCTATGCAGAAAAAGATAGTAATTCTTGCATACCAATTTTCTAACTAGGTAGACCACAACTATGAACTAGGACCAAAAAACTGCCCAGAGGCTTAACACAAGGCTGCTTATGCTTGAGGCGTCTGCGACAGCAAAAATAATGGGTCTTACCGCGACTCGAACGCGGGGCCTCTCGCAAGTGTGCTCAGGTGTCCACCCTAAGCGAGAATCATACCACTAGACCATAAGACCATTGCTTGCTACTGCTGTAGCTGTTGATGGAAGAAATTAGAGATTGTTAGTATATATTCTTGAAATGCAGGTTGCAGCAGGCCTGAGAAGCACTAGCCAAGGTGGGGTTCACGCTGGTGGAGTTTTGCTCGTATTACGCGGCCGATGCTCACCACCCATGTCAAAAGACATCCAACATCATATTCGACATGCAGTCTAAATCATCTGCGGTCCAGACAGCCTTATATAAATGCGCATCACTCAAGAATCTGCGATACAAGATATTCTCTCCTACACGTGAGTTGTGATGGCAGCCTTTTATTGAGATGCATACTACTGTAGCTTTTTAAAAGAGGGTGTCAGAATCTCATAGGTAATCTAAAGCCGAGGCTTGTAACCGACACGTGAAGAGCAGATCTCTGCGCAACAGCATGCAGCATCGACCCACTAGTATTGAATATTACATCTCCATCCTACAAAGCCTTAGTTGCACTGCTCGCTGTTCATGCTTGCCGCGCATTTCAAGATTCTGTGTTCAGGGTCCGGAATTGTGACGCAAGG